TGGGGGGGTGGGAGGGTGGGGGGGAGAATGTAGAACTGACTGCTCCTTCTTTGCTGATAGCATGCCCCTTTCTTAGTTGCTTTAGCACTTGAGGATAAGGAAACTCAACTTTTTTTGGTGGCTGTTGTCTCATACAACTACTCTTCGAAAACACAGCTATAAATCCTTGAACATAGAATTTAACAGTGTCAATGTTTCTCTTCTTATTAGAAAAGTTTAATCAACTTCTCCACGTTAATTTAAAATAAGTGAGGTTTTTGATTATTTATCCAATGGACAGTGTCTTTTGAGTTACCGGACAGGACTCAATAAAAGAAAGGCAAATATCAGCTTTCTTACTGTAAGATGACTTAATTAGGGTACCTGAATGGTCAAAAGAATTCAAATAAGTAAGGCAGCACATGGAAGATTTAAACAAAAAAAAAGTTGGAGGACTTCACTGCCTGAATGATCTGATAAGGAACCTGAATGTTTAGGGTGGTAACTATGTTACCATAGATTGTCAGCAGCCTGGGTAATTTCATTCACCAGGTACACTCTGCAGTGATGTCATGCGGTAGGTAGGAATACGTAGCTCTAACTGTAACGTACTTCCCAGGCACGAGTTGTAGAATTGTTTAGTCTCTCTCAAGATAAAAGATAACACAAGAGACAAACATGAGACAATGAGATGGGAAAAAGATGAAATAATTTGGATGTTCTGACAGTAATAAAGTGATGTGGTAGGGAAAAAATGATAATTAAGAGAAGGTTCTTAGATTTAATTTTATCAAGTTAAATATGTGGAACAGCTTGCTTTCTTTAATCCTGGGAAATGTTGTTTTGAACTAGGGAAGGTGATTGGGTCTTTCCACATTTGTGATTTGTTTGAGATGTTTATTTTGCTCTCCTGTGTGTCTCAAATAAATTATAATAATAACAGTGGAATCAAAATGCTCCATCCTTAGTTCTCAAATAAAAAGAAATTATACTGGCTCAAAATGTCAATATCATATTGACCCTCGATGTTGCCTTGTCTGGGTTTATTTACCAGGTCCTTTTCCTTTGATTAAAGACTAGGGAAGAAAATCCTCTTTAGAAAGTCACATGATGTCTTTGATCTATAAAGACTACCCAGTGCTCGTTTCTGAATCTGCCTAGTGCCTAGTTGAACACCTTCCAAGGAGTTAATACATATTTCACTGATTGAGTAAATGACCTAAATGTGCAAAGAGACCCAAAGTCAGAAAAATGAAGAGCCTGGGAGGAGAAATATAGGAGATCTGGTCCTGCTATTTGTCCTACATAGCCAATCAGTTACAAAATTTAGCTTTTCATATGTGCAGAGAATTGCAGCACACACCCAGGTACAAATGAAGAGTTCTGCCTCTGAAGAAAACGGTGGTGTAACTGCTGTACACGTCCTGTTGTAGCTACAGAGAAGAAAATGAGCAAATTTATAAATGAACACTCTGTATATAATTTCCAAAGTTATTTACCTAAGATTCTGCCTTTATTATGTGCCATTAGTGACTTTGTCCTCAAGTTTGCATTTCAAATAGGAAGGCAGGCCTGCCTAAAATTTTCACATGCTAACAGCTGTAATTAAGGTAGAAGGGGCATATTTAAATAGTAATTAGCCTTCAAGGCTTGGAGTGTAAACAGAATGCTAATTCATGTAGATAGTTAATTGGTCTTCCGGGTTAGAGATCTTAGGCTGGCCTTTCTCTTCAGCTGTGCTCTGTCTGTATACTGAGCATAGACAGCGTGTTGACTCTGAGATGAAATTTTGCAAACTCTTTAATTCCCAGAATTTTAACTTTTAACTCACAAGTAAAATAAACTTGAAAACATCCAATAAAATTCTAGAGAAAAACACTTTACTTTAGACTTTTCTTCATAATTAGGGGACCCTTATACCTTGGTTTATTTATGCTATTCCAATGTAAGTACTGAGAAGACCTTTCAAACTCAGAGGTATTTTGGTTTGTGGATAAATTATGTGGTCAGCCTAATCATAATCAAAGATGACGTGACCCACACCGATTGCTATAACTAAAGACTTGGATAAAACTGGCTATATTTTATTCAATGCCAAATGTCAAAGTCCCCCCCCCCCTTTTATGGCTATAAACATGGTAAACAATGGATGTTCTGAAATTGAAATGGTCGTTTGTTTTAAAGGACCACTACTTTACTGGGAATTTTGTCATTGACTTTGCTAAGTCTCCTACTCTGCCAATCGTTTTTGAAAAAAGTATATTTATTTATTTGATTTATTGAGAGGGGGAGAGAGAGAGAGAGACCCCTCCGACAGGGTCTTTGTGTCAAGATCCATCCCTCACCTTACCCAGCCGGGATCATGGGCACACACCTACTCTGCCCGGATATGCCAGCATTGCTGAGCCACTACGGCTGGTCATGGCAATTCCTTTAACCCAAGGAAAAACAAGTCACTATATTAGGTAGCTGCATCTCTCTGTGTGTTGCTGTGGTTTCTTGGTCCTACGGATAAATTGCCTGGGAGGTGGATCTGATGATATTGTGCTTATTTATTTGTTCCATTGCCAGAGGGCAGTCGTGCTGGCCAGGGAGAGACAAAGAAATAAGGAGAGAGGAAGAGAGCACTCCTCAGTGAGGCCTAGTCGTTCTACAATCTCT